ACCCCCACTTTGAGTTACATCTGTATATTATTAAACGTGCGATATATGTATTCAAAATATATCATCCAACCGGAAAATTAAACAGTGGTGATATAAAAAAAACAGGTCCTTCAAAACCTTATATTGAAAATTGTATTCTGAGATATTAGATTAAAGATAAGGATTGTCATTCGCATTTCTCGAATCCATTTTAGAGAAATCTGAAGCAAACAGTATAGATATTCGGGACATGCATATCAATAAATATGTAAAAAAAGAAACTATGTAGTCGGAATCCCTATCTCATTCAACATAAAAAGGAAGGTCCTCTGATAGGCCGTTTTAAATCTTTTACGGACTGAAATATTTAGTGATTAGTGAAAATAAATTAACCTCTTTTTCTGTCTTTTCAGCTAGATGGAATCATATTGAAGACTTGGATTCGTTTTTCACTCGAATGTATAACTATCACCAAAAACATGGGTTCTCCGTTATCGTGCTAGATGAAATCTTTCAACTTTTCAAGTTCGGCTTTGTTGTCTGGTTGCTTACTTTTACGTTGTACTGCATCGATCATCCAGTTTTATTTGGGTAACTCTAATTTCGTTACGAATTGTAAGATATGCATATTTTTAGAAAATAACACAGGCATGCGAATAGTTATGTTATTTTTGTGAATATCTAGGTATGTTAGATTAAAATACATCTTTGTTTTTTTTTCTAGCATACATATCGTCGATTGTATAAAATATTGTTGAAAGCGCGATTTTGACGACTTTAAGGCAGGCCTTCCCAAAGTGGGTGACGCGGCACCCTGGGGTGCCGCTAGTGGCTAGAGTATACTAGTGGGCCGGGCAAATTTTTTAGACTTTCCATACACAACGCAAGCGGTTTGATCAAACTTCAACATGGCGGCCAGAAAATAAAAAATTTTGATTTTTATTAAAATTACCTTCAGCGGCTCGTCAAACCCCATACACAACACAAATAGCTTGTAGCAAAGAGATATTTCGCTCTTAAGCGTAGTTCCCCAGTACGTTGTGTCAACGTAAAATTGAATCAGAAAATTTTCAGAAGAATAGCCGAAAACGTACCCTTTTCACAACCATTTTCGGTACTTTTGTAGACCTAATCCGCGTTTCGTACACTTTTCTTCCCGTTTTCGGATTAATTTTCGGATTTTTTGCTGGCTGGGCTGTTCTCGTAAAAAGCGCAGCAGCTTCGCGCACGTGAATTAACACGATTTTAGAGGCAGTCTTCTCGTGTTAGTGAGGTACCCATTCGCAATGCAAATCGAAGAAGAACGAAGTACTTCAGACTTACGCCACTAGCGACGAAATTTCCAAAGCTATCGACAAATTTGTACAGAACAATGGTTTGAAATGGAGGGAGTGTGCGGATATTTGCGGTGGTTGGAAAAACGAAAGGAGCGATGTATATGATGAAGCAAGAGGCAGAAAACGCCACGAGGAGTCACTGTATGATCCCTCGGTATTCCCTGCGACTAGGAAGATGTCGCCACTAAATTTAAAACCCGTATAAGATGACGCTGCGAAGATAACAGTAGCCTGCGAAATTAAAATACATCTCTGGTTTTTTCTAGCACGTCGAGATTTTTTTTATTGGCGACATGTATATTTTATTTCTAGCAATTTGCTTGCAAACCCCATAAATAAACAAAGTAATCAGAAAAACGTATGTAACTTCGAAGTTAACACTAAGAAAATTGATAACATCCGGTTTCACTAGCAATTTCGAAGATCGAACATCGAAAGTGAAATTTTGAGCTATGCAACCGTGTCGGATACTTTCGCTGAGTATCGCATTTTCTGTCGAACAGAATTTTGGTTTCGGTGGTGTAGCGAAGTGTTAGAAAAAAAAATATGATTTTGAAAAATGCATGATTTTGCATTGGTTTTTTACTTTATGGCGGCTATACACTAATTTTAAACAATATTTATTAATTTCGTGCAGTTGTTTTACTTGTGAAAGAAAATCCCAATACTCAGTTGGCACGATCTCTGAGAAAAAAATCGTAAGCTGTTGATAGTTTTAAAATATTTTAAATAGATTTGGCTCACCAACGCCTCTTTAGACAGTCGGAAGTTTTTAATAAACAGATTTCTTAAATATATTTTATGTCAAAATATATTCGAAAGACTACGCTTAAACCCTCTTAAACATTTTCTACTCCTGGCCAGTTTACCAAGCTCTCTCCTCTGACGAATCGTTGAACCAGAACTCCGTTGTACTCATTTTTACCACGCTTTTATAAACTCTTGTTTCTTTTTTATTCTTTCTTTTTCTTTTTTATTTCATTTTGATTTGCACAAATTTGCACAAAGAATTATAGTAATCGGTTAACGTGGTCCAAAGTTATGCGGTAACATACATAGAAAAAAATAGTAAAAGAATATTCCGACGAATTTATAACCTTATCCTTTTTGTGAAGTCGGTTAAAAACAAATACACCAGCAAGCTTTCAGCGTCGAATGATTTCAGGGTATAATTGTCAAAGCTTCCTGTAAACTTAAAGGAAATAACGAAATCATCAAAACAATTTCAGTCTTCACATTAAAGCTAAAGGAGCATAAAGTTTGCATTGTGTTTTCTTGTTTTCGTAGACATTTGAAGAGTAGGGGTGCCGCGAAATTTGTTTAGTACAACAAGGGTGCCGAGGTGAAAAAAGTTTGGGAAACCCTGATTTAAGGTATAAATGCAGTTACATATTTTAAAATAAGATCGAGATATTGACTAAGATTGTATCGCCAATTAAGTATATATTGAGTAAATAATGCAATCTTACTTACTTAAATGGGCGGATTTCTGAAATATGTATTACAATGCTGCCAACTTTATGTGTAGTGCATTGCATTGTAATTATTATATTAATATGGATACTGCCAGACATCATTTTTAAAACTTGAGAGCATTGCCAGGCAAAATATGCACGCACACATAGCCTCGCATGGCTACTAGCTGCCTGGCATTGCTTTGGAGCAACTAACTGTGAAACTTCCATCAAAAATGAATTTTCTGTACTTGTAATTGACTCATTTTTATTGAGTTTGTAGCGGCAACACTGAAAGGCCGATAAGTTTTATCGGTTTGACTACAGTGTATGATCGCTAACTGATTCATTGGCTGTTAAATTAAATTGGACGCTTTCAGTTTTTGAGCGTACAGCATAAGTCTAGTTTTTGTATTACTTTTGAATTCAAATATTTATTAAATAAAGCAAACTTGATTCAAACACTACAAAGTGGTGACCCCGTCGAAAGTAAAGATGCCCACGGAAGGAGACGGAGAAATTTTCGTAGACGCTTCGAATTTGCAAATTGCTCGTGTGGCCATTAAACCGCCGCCATTTTGGAAGCTCGATGTTCGGCTATGGTTTCAGCAGGTGGAAGCCCAATTTATTCGCTCAAATATTACGTCAGCTGAGACTAAGTTCTATACGTTAGTCGCAGAAATTGATTCCTCAGTGCTAAAGCATGCAGCAGATATCATTCAAAGGCCTCCGGCAGACAATAAGTACGCGCACTGAAGGAGCGCCTAATTAAGGAATTCAGCGAATCGAAGGAGGTACGTATGAAGCGTTCGCTGAGCGGTAATACAATAGATGGTAGGAAGCCGACAACTTTCCTGCGAGAATTGCGAGACCTAGCAGATGGTCACTTAGACGAGGCGGTGCTTAAGTCGCTGTGGCTGCGTCAACTTCCAAGGAACGTGCAACAAATTTTGGAAACTGTAACTGGAGATCTTGATAGCTTAGCGGAGAAGGCAGACAATATTATGGCGGTCGCGGATGACTCTGGCATTAATGTTGTTAGTGGTGATGTAGGCGCAGTCGCATCTTTGCAAGGCACAATCATGGAATTGAACAAGCGATTGAAGCGTTTAGAACTGGGAGTGCCCAAACCAGTTATTCGTGCTACAAACCGTCAGCGTAGCTATTCGCCTCGTGCGCGCTCTCGTAATGTAAGATCACCAGCGGGCGAGTTGTGCTGGTATCATCGCAGATTTGGTGCACGTGCCACCAGGTGCGAATCACCTTGTAATTTTCGACCTGAAGCGCAGGAAAACTAGTTGGCCCGTCCTTTTCGGCGACTAATCAAAGGATAGGGCCTGACGTATGTCGCCTGTTCATTAAGGACAGACTTTCAAAACTCTCTTTTTTAGTGAATACCGGAGCAGAAATATCTGTGGTGCCACGCGACAGTAACGACAATTCTCAAGCTTCATTAGTAAAATTAGCAGCACCAAACAAGACTCATATAAATACGTATGGACAAAAACAACTCACCGTGGATCTAGGCCTGCAAAAAAACTTTACATGGATATTCACTATCGCTGACGTGACGCATCCTATATTGGGAGCAGATTTTTTAAAGCATTTCGGCATGCTTGTCGACGTAAGAGACAAGGCGTTGGTTCGCAATGGGTCAGACCTACGTAGCGCGTGTAGAATATCCCGCCAACACCAAAATATAACGACGATTAAATCGACCAGCGTGTTTCATGACCTTGTGATCCGATATGCTGATCTGTTGAAGGAGCCAGCGCGACGTAAAGGAACTGAAACGCAGATATGTCACTTCATTGAGACAAAGGGACCGCCAGTGTCACAAAAGGTGCGTAGGCTACCACCGGAAAAGCTGGCAGTAGCGAAAAGAGAATTTAATTATCTCTTGGATAAAGGCATATGCGTTCGGTCAAAAAGTCAATGGAGCAGTCCTTTGCACCTAGTAAAGAAAGCAGACTGCACTTGGCCTCCTTGCGGCGGCTACAGGCGACTGAACTCTAAGACGATCCCGGACAAATACCCAATCCGTCACATACAGGACTTCGCTAGCGAACTAGCTGAAACGAAAATGTTTTCTGTTATCGACTGCAAAAAGGCATAGCACCAAATACCGGTGCATCCAGCAGACGTGCCCAAGACCGCAATCAGTACACCATTCGGACTATTTGAGTTCCGATATATGACGTTTGGCTTGCGCAATGCAGCCCAGACGTTTCAGCGATTTATGGACGACACGCTTAGAGATCTGCCTTTCGTTTTTCCCTATTTGGACGACACATTGGTGGCATCAACGTCAGTTGAGGAGCATGTAGGGCACCTGCGAAAACTCTTTGACCGATATCGCGAAATGGGATTGGTGATCAACCTGGACAAATGTCAGCTCGGTTTACCAGTGAAATTTTTGGGGCATTCAGTGTCAGCAATAGGTATTAAGCCACTACCAATCCGCGTGGAAACTTAAATCGCTGGAGCAAAGCCTAAAATGGCACACGAGCTAAGAAGTTTTTTAGGCGTTGTTAACTTTTATTGGCGTTTTCTACCACATGCGGCCGAGATTGAGACACCCCTACAGAAGATATTGGGGCCTTGCAAAAAGCGCGACAAATCTTTTTTAAACTGGACCCCGGAAGCTTCTGCGGCTTTTGAAAAGTTAAAACACCAATTAGCAAATGCAGCTTTGCTGGCGTTCCCGATTAAAGATGCAGAGCTGGCACTCATGACCGACGCGTCGGATAAGGCAATGGGAGCGGTGCTCCAACAACGAATGCAAGGTGATTGGCAGCCG